ACTCGGAGAGTGCAAACCTCCACCAAGACCGATTTCCCCCATCCTGTAAGAGTTAATGCACAAAAGCTGAGATGGAAAAACATTTGCCGAATAAGTTCTGACGTAGTGAACATTTAAGCAGGCAGTATGCACGGRATTTCYTCCTGGTGGAGTCCAATGAGGAAAAAAAGTCAGACTCATCACCYGACRTTATTCATCGTCAAACTGGTCTCGGATTAAGCTCCTAAGTTTTCATCAGTCACATTCCACTGTGTAAGACATCTGTTTTATGCCCTTTTATGAGTGATTGAAGCAGAATACAGCGTGTGAGTGATTTCTGCACAAATTCACTACTACGAACTTCAGAGCAATCACACAATAAAGTTCTTATGTGGAGGGGGACAAGGTTGATCAGCTGTTCCCTCGGACAGTCCAGCGGCTGCAGCGGGACCCTCCTCCCGCTGTTGGTGTCCTGTTATTCCCAAAAAACATTAAAACATTCCCTCCTGCCCGTTGGCGCACAAACCCACACACTCTTAACACGTCTGGTGTAAAAAAGTAATCCGCCACTAGCTTCCAAAATGTGAAATAAATCCGTTCTCCCCCCGTCTCCAAACTTTGAGGCCCGGCAGCTCTCTGTTTACAAGCCTAGTAGCGAGAAACTGTTTTGAYTGGTTGTTTCGGAAATGTGGTGTGTTTGTGGAAATGGGAAAAATAGGTTTCATGGTGCAGTCACGCACTTCCTGGTCACAAAATGTTCTCTAAATGCGCACCAAATGTGTAAAAATATGCACATTATGGCAAAAATTATTCATCATTAAATCTGGTTTTATTTAAAAGTAAACATTACTTTTATAAAGTTTGAAGTCTGTGCTGTTCAATCCAGTTCAAATGAACACTGGAAGTTCTCACTGTTTTTTACAGAAGCCCTGTGAATGAATTACAGCTTTCGAGCTCAGAGGGTTAAAAGACATAAAACATTCCTGTATCCGCATCGTGATCTGGAACATCACCAAMATTTAATGGTGTGTTCTTTGGYCCAGTACCCACATGTGGTAAAAATGTCATGACAATCTGTCCACAAGTTTTTGTGCAATTTTGTCCACTGACAGACAGCTCGACAGACTGACATATGCGACCGAAAACATTACCTCGCAGTTGGCAGAGGTAAAAAGTGTGCATATAATTAAAGACAAAACAATGCAGGCTATATATAATCTGACTCCAATAATGTCTTTCTATCACAAGGTTTCTCAAAATTAGCCCATTATTTATCACGTGGGAATGCGTTAATTATCTCTGGCGAAGAAAAAAAATCTTGTCGGCATGAGTTAATTATCATGTGCACGCATTATTATCTCGTGGGCACGCGTTAGTCATTGTGTGGGCACGCGTTCTCGTGACCACGTGATAATATTTTTTATTATTCCATGTCACCAGATGTGCTTCGTAGAAACATTACCACTGAAGTGGAAAATTTAAAAAAAAGTTTGGTAATCACAACTACACATATACGTTTATTTTTACATTTCTTTATCCTTCTGTTTACTGAGGTCATCAGCTGCTGAAAAGTAGTGAAGAAAGTAATAAACATGCTGATTAAAGCTTTTTTTAATTCATAGAGTTTCTCATAAAAATAACAGAAACAAGAATGAATTTTGTTTAGGTAGCTTTAACTTAAATGTTGGAGAAATAAGAGATATAATGTGATGTCATCTCATGCATTACCTCAGCCAGATTTCCACATATTGAACTAAAACTTGGTCTAGTTGTTGCTGAAAGTCATTACAACCCAAAATCTAAGCACTAAACACCGTTCACTAAATTTTGATGACGGTAAGTGTTGGATTTAACCTGTTTGTTGAAGCAGTGGATTGATTTTAATATAACTGTCAGAACTAAGAATGGATTTCACATGGGTGCCACAGCCAATCAAACATAACCAACACAGAAATGGTTAAAATACAGTCAGTTTTACAAATGTTCAGCAAAAAAATTTGATCTGGTAATAGCTGAGTCATAACCCAACCCTAACACTTTGAGCAGTAAACATTGCACAACATCTTTCCTTCAAACATCTACATTTAATATGGATTTCAACCTTTTTGTTTGAAAAATATTTTTCATAAATCAGGAATCAACCTGGTTCTTTTCATGCAACATGTTTTGCATGGTCAGAACTGATAATGCTGGGTCTGAAGACATTTCTGCATCAGCTGCCTCCTGGAGAACAGTTCGTATTCCTCTGACTCACTTTTATTTTTTGCATTTGCTTTTTCTTTTTTTTGTGTTTACTTCTCTGTTGCAGTGGCAAATTGTCTGAACTGAATGATTCTATTAAAGTTTTAAGGTGTTTTTTTTCTTTTTTTTTTGTGTTTACTTCTCTGTTGCAGTGGCAAATTGTCTGAACTGAATGATTCTATTAAAGTTTTAAGGTGTGTTTCATACTGACTTAGTGGGTTTTAAAACCAAATTCACCTCAGAAAATTTGAATGCTGAATGATTTTGCTGATTTTTATAAAGCTAAATTGCAAAAGTGTGAATAACAAAACAGAGAGCAAAGATTAAAACGGTAGCTAGATATTAAAATTAAAAACAATTGTTTGAAGCTAAAGCTAATAAATTATTTTTTACAAAGGAGCTAAAATGTAAATGTATGTAAAAAGCTGTGTGTAAAAAAGTATGTAAAAAGTTAAAAGCTCATATTGACACAACAGCTAAAAGCTAGAGTTAACAAAACATTAGCTAAAAATAATTTTTTATAAAACCAAATCCAAAAGCTATAGTCAGTAATCTAGTATTTAAAAGTTCAAACCAACAGTTAGAAGCCTAAATCAGCAAAACAGCAGCTAAAACCTAATATTAGCAAATCAAAAAGTTACAAGATAAAATCAGCTACAAAAAAAATCATATTTTGTTTCAACAAACAAAATAAATGTTTTTAAGCATTATAGCTAGCTAAGATCTTGGCAGCCATGTCCTAAAGCAGCTGAACCTGAATGGTTTGCACTCAGAACATGTTTGGGATCAGCCTCAGCTACTACAACACCCAGTTTTAGGTCAACAGCTGTGAAAATTGAGTTTTTAGACATGTTTGTGTTTTTAATACTTGACTTGCTGCAGCAGCCATCTTGAATCCAACTSGCTCCAAATGTTAATCAGATGTTGATGTGCATCTAAAGAGGATTTTTGACAAGTTGCGATAAAGTTCATCAACTCTGAGCTGCAGTCTGACAACAGACACACACCACCACAAGAAAAACACATTATCACCCACCTTTCACCTTTTAGTGGATCACAATAACTAAACCAAACTGAAGCTAAAGCTGCACAGCTACATTCAGCTGCAGCATTAAACTGTGTTCACAAACTCTCCAGCAGCATGTGACACACAGTTAAATGAATTGTCCCTCTGCAGTCAGCTGAGTTATATTACGTACTCTTGTCACCTAAAACACCTGAATCCAACAGTGAACATGTTCTGTTAGAAAATCACTTCTGCACTTTGTTCAGCCACCACTTGCAAACAGCAGAGCTACTGTTCCTGAATGTAATCCAGCCAATGATTACATTGCACTAAAGTCATTTAGAAAACGGTTCAGTTTACAGAAACATAATTTGTAGGAGACAAAGTTGCACAATGAGGACACAAAATGTGAATTGCTTACCTGTGATGATTGCACCTTGCCAGAGACCAATTCCCTGTGAAGTTTTTTTTTTTTTTTTTCTGGAAAATGTTCAGTACGTGTCACAGCTTTTATAAGAGTTCAGAATATAATATATAATATTTAATGCAGCGTGGGCAGAGCTGCCCTCATTTTAGGAGAAATGTCACCCAGGCTTTACATTCTGTCAAACAGACCGTCTCTCACTCCAACATGAAATCTGAAATGTCAGGCTGACATATGGTTTCAATCAACGAACWATAATGTTTTATTCTTGTGCTTTTGTTGAATTGCAAACGGAACCGTTTTCACAGCTTACTGTGCTCAATGAACAACATTCAGTTTACATCTCAGAGTCACATGATCTGTGTTTTCTCTCAGGTTGGACACCACTATCTTTGTTAGTTTATTGGGATGTTGTTTGATTCCTGTAAGGCTCAACCAAAATGTGTCATGTTAGGGGTTAAACTGGACTGTTGTTTAGAGAAAAAAAAAAAAAACTAAACTAAAGCAATCTACAATGATTTCCAATAATGCCTGAAAAACTTTCTAGATTTGAGCCGCTTTAGAAGGTCAGGTCTTAAGATCAAGACCGGTCTCAAGTACTACAAAACTATAAT